TATCGTAAGCAAGAGTTGCATCAGCAATTTCTCTACGCAAATCTAACGATTGTATTTTCAGTTGCTTACATCGATCAAAATAAGGAGTAAGTCTGAATGAGGTAGCGTTACGTCTATTTTCTAACAAATAAATAACAAATTGTTTTTGTATCGATTCGATATCCCTGATATAAATATCCTGATATGGGCTCCATATAACTGAAGCAAATTCTAAAATAGGCCTAACATGAGCCAGATACAATATCTTTTGTGTTTCGTATGTAAAGTTGCCATTTGAAAAATGCTTAATACAGCCAATCATGCGCCTCGCTTGTATTGTTTTTTGTTCGATGTGATGACCAAAGTGAAGCTGCTTATCAATCAAAACGCCGAGATCGCGAATCTCTTCCTTTCTCTCGATTAAGTAGTCTCCCATGGTGTATGTCGTGATGATGGATGACTTTTTACGACAAAGTGTCAAAATCGCACATTTTTGATTGTTGAAAAATAGTCGATTGGCATTACACCAAAACATGAGTTTATCAATATCATTTTGAAGGTGATGCGTGTTGTTTGACATGGTATTGCCTCGTATTTCCAATGCTATTTTGATGTCGTCTGCTAACAGCAGCACGGTAGACTTTTCAACAATGGCACTTATGTCGTTTATAAACATGGTGAACAAAACTGGCCCCAGAACACTTCCAGCAGGCACACCAGATGGTGACGGGTATGATCTGGATTTGGACTGGCCAATCATCACAAAATTGAAACGACCGATGACAAAGTCGCATAGCCATCTGGCGGTTTTACGACCAATTTTGAAGTGAGCAATTTTCTCGATGAGTTTTCGATGCCATACGCGGTCGAACGCAGTTTTAAAATCTCCGTAAAAGACATCAAGTTGCGTTTTCTTGCGAAACACATCGTGCGCTAATATAGACAGGCTCAGTAAATTCGTTGTAACAGAACGCTTTGTTCTGAATCCATGTTGTGAATTCGATAATTGTGGGTCAATGATAGCACTCAACTGGTGCTTGATTGATAATTCAAAGATTTTCAGAATGACTGAACTGATTGCTATCACACGGTAATTTGTGACATCCTCTTTGGGGCCTTTTTTGTAAACTGGCACAACTCTCGACAGCTTGAGCAGATACGGAATAGTACCAGCATCAAATGTTTTCTGGTACAAAAGCCATATTGGCCAAACAATGGCGTCGATACATTGCTTGATGACAAACGGTGATATCTCATCTGGTCCAGCACCACTATGCCACTTTAAAGAGTTAATGGCTAGTTCGATACTTGTCAATGACACATTGATTTCAGTAGAATCAGCACTCTCTTGAAATATTTCGTCGAAATTCCAAAGTTGTTCATCAGCTACATAAATTGTCTCGAAGTTATCTGCAAACAGTTGAACAATATCATCAGGTGAATCAGCCGTGGCATTATTGTTGTGCATTTGATTTGGATACGTAGCTTGTTTGTTGCCAATTTTCGCAAATTTCCAAAATTCTGCTGGATTCGATTTGATATTATTTTGCACACCAGCAATGTATTCACTATGCAGTTTATCGTTCAACTCATTGAAATCACGACATGCATCGATGTATTCTGTTGTTTGAATGCCTTTCGGTTTACGCTTGAACGATTTATCTCGTTGATTTTTCTTATGCTGCAACTCATGAGTCCACCATTTAGGCTTGTTAGGGTAATTGGTGACCAAAACCTTTGGTATATTGTTCTCTGTGAGTGTTTTCATGGTGCAGTGGAAGAAGTCAAACGCTGAATGAACATCGCGAATACTAAATTCGTGTTGAAAATTTATGCACTCAATCTGTTGACAAAGTCGTCGATAATTTCCACGAGAGTATTTGAACACTAATTTGGGTTCAGCACGTATCATTGATCCAACTTTGGAATATTCAAATTCGATGGCGTACGGTTTATGATAAACATCTTGTTGGCTCTCATCAACAAGTGTGTGTTGGTCGACACTCAATTTGACTTCACACGAACTGTTCACAAATAGTAAATCCAACACATTCGAAGCTATATTTTCAATGTTTGAAATTTGATACAGCGGCAGTCCGAGCATTTTAGTCAAAAATGTATTCGCGTTTTTCAAATAGATAGATCTTGTTTCTATTGAAATGATAGGCTCGTAGCAATTTTCAGCTTCATTTGCAGTCCATTGGATGTCTTTCAAGTTGAAATCACTCAAAACCATCACTTGGTGGGCAGGAAAGCGATTCATGAGTGACTTGATATTTTCAAAATGTTTGATGGCGATGTCAATATCGAAGATTTTCATGTAACATAGGTACAGCAGAATTGGTGTTGGCTTCAGTATAACTTCAACCGCTACCGCTTCACAATCTGGATCATCGGGTAAATTTACTTGTCGGCTCTTCAGTGTAGAGTGTACCAAGACAGCAACTCCACCCGCTCTTCTGCTTCTAATTTTTTCGGTTTCAGTCGCTCTGTCGCAGCGATACACGTTAAACATGCTTGGGAAGTAAACACTGGACGAATGATTCGATGTGAGCCAAGTTTCAACGAGACAAATTATTTTGTAGAGCGATAGCTCAACTTTCATGCAGAAGTTACGTTTGTTTTCGACGGATCTGATGTTGTTGTAATAAATCAGCAACCTGATGAGATCAACGAATTGGTCATTTGTTGAGTTTTTACTGCGAAGGCGGTTGATTTTCTGTTGAATATCATTGACACGCAGGAAAAAATTATCGATGTGGTCGTCACTGAAATCGGATTCATCGAGTTCGGTCATTTTAAGCAGCATTTCGTATTCAAGTTCAATGATTCTGTCATTGATGGTGTTATTTTGATCAGGAACTGATGTAATTGTGGCAGGTAACATATTGGTGTTGTTTAAACTCTCTGACGGTGACATGAAGTAGCTCGTGATGAGCGATTGTGTACAATTTCTGCGGATGGAATTGCTCAAATTAAATTGTGCAGCATCATGTCCCTCAAGCCGAGAGCATATACTATATTTTTGTGTGTTACCTGCAAGGGAATTTTTGGTGCTGTTGGATTTTATTCGGCTGGGCCG